CAATACATATAAACACATACACACACACAAACACACACACACACACACACACACACACACACACACACACAAAAAACTGCTCTCACAATCATTGAAACATTACTATTAGTGGTTGACGACATAGTTTCCATTTTGACCTGCGTTTGACCTGCGTCAGAGCTTGCAAGTTGCCTTCCGGTGGGGGATTTCCGTGCCCAAATTGTCCACAGAGTTTGAAGTTCAAAGCCAAATGATTGTAAATGCCCAAAGTCAACCTAGTTTAGGCCGGTTAGAGAGGATTCTTCTCTCGTTAAGTCACTCACCCACTCAAGTTCCTTCTTCCTCTACTCACCTGGTTTTAGGGTAGGTAAGATTGAGCACCTAGTCTTCTCGGATAATGAAAAAAAAACTTCGGGGGTCCTGTGTGCACACTACACACGTTAAAGATCCCTTGGTGGCTGAAAAACGTACAAGCATAGAACGTTAGATTATCACCCGAGCAAAATGCAAAATTCAAATATTCCGTACCCTAAATAACGTCCCTGCCGCACCTTTAAAAACTAATAAGCCACGCCTTTACACTGTCCTTGATTCCAAACGTACTGACTCTCCCTTGGCGCGTAATAATTGTCAAGGAAGCCAAGATCAGAAGGAAGTGGACTAGTACTCGGGCAATGTACTTACTCTGTATCTACCGCCCGGGCAAAGATGTATCATGCATACTAATTTAAGATCGTCCGCCAAGACGCAAAGGTCATAGAAGGGGATTTCTTGGGCCTTGTCGGTCAAGACCGACTCTTATTGAGTGGGATGTAGCATACCAGAATAGGAACACGGATGATTTAGAAATAGTAACATACTTCCACACGCGTATTCAAATCTAGATAGTTTGTATGCAAAGACGAAAAACCTAGCCATTGCTAAAAAGACGCCGGTGGTTCTCATCAGAGTGGGGTCTGAATTATTTTCCTTATGCCTCCTGTATTATTTTCACTGACTCCTTTGTCTTGAGTAGAGACCATTTTCATGTGTATATCTAAATTTAATCATAACGATAATGATAATGATGATAGGATAAGATAAGATAATACTTTATTATCTCAGAGGGAAACTTTTCCTGGCTGTACAGGACCGTAAAAACACATGCAGGTATAGTACATCAAAGAATGATGTTGATGATGAATTTCCACAAAGAAGGCGCTTTTCTTCAGAATTAAACGAACCCTGCGTTTTGAACATGATTGGTGGTCATTGCGGCGAGGCCACTAGATCTAAATCCACATTTTTTCCCTTGTTGTTTTCGTTCTTCTCTCTGACTAGTGAAAAGCAGCCATTATGGCACTGGATTGACAAAAAACTGTAACACAAGTAAAAAAACAAGATTCAAAAAATGTCAAGCGTACGTCCGTGAAACGACGTTTCGGTTACGGGAGGGGGGGGGGGGGGGTGTGTGTCACTGAGGTGAGTCCTTGACCAAGATGCGATAATCCTAAAAAAAAAACAACCCCCAGACACTGCACAGTGATGACCAGCAATGGCGCTTTTATAGTATATTTTGTAAGATTCAGTATGTTTGTATCTATGCACATGTTTGTATGTATTTATATATTTATGTACCGTATGTTTATAAATATGCATGATATACTCGTATTACGCCATTGTCAACAAAGTTTCACCACGGGGATCAATGAAAGAGGAATTTCAACTATTTAAAAATTATTCTTTTTTGACAGACCCCCCTCCTGCGCACACTCCTCATTCAAAACAAAACTAATAACAAAATGAAAACAAAGGTCAAAACCGTTTGAAAAAAACGGTCGTGTCTATCGTGAGGACATCTAAAACCCAATTCGCACGACAAGACCATGCTGACATTCATATCGTTGACCGATAAAGATTTGTGTGGGAGACAACCCTGTTGGCTGACGGGGACAGGTCGTTCAATCGATTGAATTTTGTCTGATCGGGACACATTTTCATGATTCTTGCATTATTTGCTTCTTTGTGAAAGCCGCCATGGTCTTAGTTTCTGAACAACGAGTGTAGTCCAGAAACTGAAGCTCCTTTGAGCGATTCATTATTTAAAAACAGGTTCAATTTTGTCGATTAGTCCGGTTCCTTAATTGCTATCTTGGGTCCAGTGGGGTTGTTTTTTGTTTTTTTGTTGTTGTTTGTTAGTTATCAGGTTAACAAGATGGGTGAATAGAATAACAGATGAACTGCTTTGTTTGTGACTGACTAGTTAACTGGTAGAAAGGACTGGTCTTTTCAATACATTTGACAAATGATTGATTTGTTGGTTCTAATGTGATTGATTGAATTATAGATACGCTGCTTGATTTGCTTACTGGTTTTCTTACTATTTGTTATATTCATTCAACAGAAGAAGCAGTTCTAGGTACTCAAATCTTTCTAGCAAAGTTTTTGGTCGTTTGGTAATGTCCATTGGCCTGGGTGGTTCTCTTGCTGGAGTGTGGTTGTTAACATGCAGAGACGAGGTAAATTACACTCACATAACAAGTAAAAATTACGTCTTTCAAATTTGTAAGGGCTGTTGAAGGACAGCATTGTTAGGTCCTACGCCCCCCCTCTCCTTTTTATAGTGTGTCCATCTTTTCCTCATTATATGAAATGGCCATTATTGTGATGATGTGCTTCTCCTTACTTAATCTAGTCGTAACTAAAACCAAATTTGTGTAAAAAGAGAGGTCGGAAGCTAAACGCTACAACGATCATCTCGTTGCTCCTCCTGTCTCCAACGACCGCACAACGAAGTATTGGAATTCTTGTCCAGACTTGAGCGTGAGAGTGTCGCGCACCGCGCGCGCGCGCGTGACACGAGAGCAAAGCAGCACCACTCCCATCGCGGTGCCATTCCATTGTCGCGAGGGCACGACCCTAGAGCTCACTCTCTCATCTCAGCGACGCGCAGTATAAAGCAACAACATGAGTAACATTACTGGAAGCAGTGTAGGATCAACATTTTTTTGCGAGACAGCGCGTCTGTTTTCTTTTTTTTTTCCCATGAGGAGACAAGAAAAAATCGGACCAGACTTTTGAAACGTGCATGTCTTGACTAAATAATGTTGCTACTTAATCGTCCGTTGATTTGATTTTAAATATGGTGTTTTTTTATGAATGAAAATGTGATGTTCGGATTGATTTCTGTGCTACATTTCTGGAAGAAGCCGCAGATGCCCACAGACAGTGGATTATATTCTCACGTGGCTAACAGGGTTTGACACCTAACATATGGGAGCACGTGCTTTTGTTCCTACGTTTGATGTAGACTCTCAAAGTAAATACGTTTACATGGGAAGATTTGTAATGCTTATTTTACCACCCATGGCAAATAATTTATTATTCTGTAGTTTGCTTGTTCTGAGGGCATCGTGCTTTTAAGCGGTAACCAGGTGGTTGTAACCTTTAACCTACGCCTTAACAACCTCTCTTTAATTTACGTCCGTTGCTTTCTTTTCTCAAACATGTGTGATGTCGAATATGAATTATTGCTAGCGTTTTTGTTTAGTCTGCCCATTCTGCATTTTTCAAAGTCAAGTTATTTCCGATGCCCTTTTTGAGGAGCATAGCCGTTATTGTAACGACTCCTGTGGGTCATTGTAGGGTGCTATTCGTACGTCCAATAATTTTTCTGTCCCTCAAGTGCTGCTGTTTGTTTGTCTTGCTCTTTCTCTTTGCGGTAAATAATCGCCCCGGAGTCAGTGGTTATAGCAGTTAGGTGCTTAGTTGTCACACGCTTGAGACCAGATTTCGGTTCCGTGGGTGGGTGGTTGGCGGGTGCTCTGGTGTGGTTTGCTTCTTTTTCCTATCAAACATCTATCGTCCTTATCTCTCCTCCTTCTTTTTGTGTTCATTACTCTTGTAACACCTCTAATCTTCGGTACTTACATGACCTTATTGTGTTGCAAGTGCCGTAAAACTCTTACTAAAACAGAGTTCGATTCCCGAGCTGGGTGACGCTTTTATGGAATATGTCGGTCTTTCTGCCAGGGTGTTTTTCCCGCTCAGCCCGAGATGGCCTCGACAGGCATAATAGGAAGCCCGACTCCTAAATGATCTAACTTGTACCTATTTGGGGGGGGGGGGGGGACGCAAGAACATCTGCATAAAAAATAAAAATTATGACTGTTATTGTGTCGATATGCTTTTTTTTACTCGAACTTATAACTGTAACCACTCTGACTTGCAGTAAACCAAAGCTAAACAACCCGGAGTCTGGGTGGTTGGTGGGTGCTCTGGTGTGGTTTGCTCCTTCTTTCCTATCAAACGACTATCGCCCTTTATTCTCCTCCTTCTTTTTTGTGTATGTTACTCTCTTGTAAAACACACATATTCTTCGGCTCTTATGTGACCTTATTGTGTTGCAAGTGCCGTAAAACTCTTACTTAAACTAAAGAAAACCAACTCGGAGTAATCGTTTTTATGTCGCAATAATTTCTAGTGAGCTTTGTTATGAGCCATGTGGGTGGTTGGCGGGTGCTCTGGAGTGGTTTGCTCCTTCTTTCCTATAAAAAAATCTATCGTCTCTATCTCCCCTCCTTTTTTGTGTTTGTTACTCTCTTGTAACGTCTCTAGTCTTCGACGCTAAAATAACGTTAGTGTGTTGCAAGTGCCGTAAAACTCTTACTAAAACTAAAACACGAGCCATGTTTTTGAAAACGTTGATTTTCCTGATTGCGAGGGAATCGGCTACCCTAGACGGCTGGCTTTGTCGTCCCTCCTTTTTCTCCCGCCATACCTTTCCTTCTTATAGCTCAGAGCTTAATAATATACTCTTATGGGATAGCGCGCTATATAAATGCAATCTCTTCTTCTCCTCCTCCTCCTCCTCCTCCTCCTCCTCCTCCTCCTCCTCTTCTTCTTCTTCTTCTTCTTCTCCTTCTCCTTCTCCTTCTTCTTCTTCTTCTTCTTCTTCTTCTTCTTCTTCTTCTTCTTCTTCTTCTTCTTCTTCTTCTTCTTCTTCTTCTTCTTCTTCTTCTTCTTCTTCTTCTTCTTCTCCTTCTCCTTCTCCTTCTCCTTCTCCTTCTCCTCCTCCTCCTTCTTCTTCTTCTTCTTCTTCTTTTTCTTAGCTAATAGCGTTACATGTTTGAGGTGAGCTAGACATCCCCCGAACTTCTCGCGAGTGATTCTACTCTGTTTTATCCCCGTTTCGCTTCTGTTTGCTTTGCTTTTACACCACAGCTAAACTGATTTTATTATGTAGATGGGATTCCCCTTATCCGTATTAAACCCAAACATCACTGTGTATATTATAGTTCTCACTGTTTTCATTCATTTTGACAATGTATGATATATCCTGGAACCTATACTAAATCGTTCCACGAAAAATGGATAACAACCTGCCCTAGCAATTATCTCAGTCCGATGAGGTTGTGATCCAACGAAGCGCCTAAAGAAATAATTTGACCTCTTGTATAATCGAAGGCTCTGAACTAGATTATCTGTCTTATTATCCTCCTCACTTCAGCTTTTACTGTTTTTGCTCTTGTTCTTGTTCTTGTTCTTGTTGGGGTTTTCCAGAAAGGGAGAGGAGAGATAGAGACGGGAGAGCAAGGGGGTGGGGGGGGGGGATAAATGTAATAGCTTAGTAAAAGTTTTGAGGGCTTCCCTGATGGATCTTACAATTTGTTAAGGTTTTTTTATCCCTCTCTTGTTTCTGTATATCTTACTTTCGTCCTTTCTTTAGCTGACCGTTATCATGTTGACAAGCTGCTCTGTTCTCATTTCATTTTTGCTTTTGAAAACATCTCAGTGGTTTCTGTATGCGTACTCCAGGTACCGGCGTCTGTGGTGTAAGTTAAGGCGCTTTGCTGTCGCACGCAGGAGATCCAAGTTCGATTCCCGAGTGGCGAGGAAGTTTTTATCCGGTAGCTCAGTCTTTCTATTAGGATGTTGTTTTCCTCTCAGCCCGGGTTGGCCCTGACAGGCCGGTTGGGAAGCCCCTCTCCTAAATGTCTTAAGTTCGTCGATGGGGGCGTAAAAAAAACCTACATAAAAATAGATTTTAAAAAGTGCTCCAGGTGGGGTTATGTTTATCCAACCCTTTTGTATCGTCTCATTCTGTTTTCTTGCTTGTGTGTCGTTGGCGGGTGCTCTGGTATAGTTTACTCCTTCCTTCCTATCAAACATCATCCTTATAAAAATTTTTACTACTTTCTTTTCTTTGTATGTTACTCTCAAGTAACACATCTAATCCCTGGCACTTATACGACCTATTTGCGTTGCAATTTCCGTAAAACTCTAACTATAACTAAAGCTATTTCCTTATTCATTTGCCCTGCCTTCCAATCGGGTTATGATGGTATCGACAAGTCCCTCTTTGACTGGGATAAACGAACGGACTTTGTTTGTCTCAACAACCGAGATTTGTTTTTTGGTTCTTTTTTTATGCCTACGTAAGACGTGAGTTCGTTTCTCGCCTGTAGAAGTCTAAATATAATGTTTCAAGCATTTCCATCTCGTTTTTTTTAACACTTTCCCTACCACTAGCCCCATTTTGTGGCATGCGGACCTTGCCTCGCTGGACCGAGAGCCGCAAAATACAGCTCGGGTGGCTTGCTATCTATTCCGACCCAGTAATGAAAAGACACGAAATTCTCGGTCGATCCACGTTTTCAAAATGATAGAATAGACTTCCTGTTAGCAGATACGAAAGAAAATAGCACTGAGAGACGAATTTTAGTCATTTCAGCGCTTTTTTTTGTCCCCTTCGAAACGTAAATATGTGGGGGAAAAAGCGCTACCCTGATTTCAGTATGTCTCATATTTTCACTTCTATATTAGGTACACATACATAACTTTCAGCATTACTTCGCATTACTTGGGAACAGCCACCTGTCCTCCACTACCTTCGAAGGCAAACAATCAAGTGGTTTGGACATCTGAAGCGTATGGCGCCTCACCAGCTTGCCAGTAAAGCCTACTACAGAAAAACATCAGGGTACAAGGCAAGAGGAAGACCAAGAAAGACCTGGACGGAGGGTGTGAAGGATACCCTGAAATAATACAACATTCCACCCAGCCAGGCCACCAAACTTGCTAGAGACCAAAAAGCTCGTTGTCCCCTCGACGCCCTAGATCTACAAGAGGACTGATAAAGTAAAGTACAGCAAGTAGAAGGCGAGCTTCTGTTCCAACTTTTAAGGGCCAACCCGGGATGAAAGGGATACAACATCCCTGAAGCCAGACCGAGATACTCAATAACTATTTCTCCCCATTCGGGGAATCGAAGTGGGGTCTCCTGCGTGCGACAGCAAAGCATGTAACTGCTACACCACAGAGGCTGGTATTTCCAAATCTTTTATTTAATAGCTCTTGACCTAAATGAACCAAATTGTATCGATGTAGGTGTAAAGCGTTTGAAAAGCTTAGTGAAAAAAAATCTCGGCGTTTGTTGCAGATAAAATATTGAGGACCACTGCCTTTCTTTCGTGTGTTCAATTAGAATGCTATCATTGGTCCCATGTGCGAATGCTTTTATATGTGGCTAGCAGGTGACTGTAGCCATTTCTGATTAAAACAATATTGAAGGAAAAGTCCAACAAGACAAATATTAGGTCAAATCAAACAAAAGCAAATATTAAAAATTGTGACTACAAGCCCCCCCC